AATACCGACACTTTTTATTATCCATCGCTGCAACTCGATGTCAAACTTTTCTCATAACTACGAACGAAGCTTCTGAAAAATTTATGGATTTTTTCCTGAATTAATTTACTACTGAATTCTTGCTTTATTTGAGTTTCTGCATAGATGCATCAAGAAAATGCAACACACAAGGTCGGCTGAAAAAGCCTGAAAGACTCATAACGAATAGAACCTGCTATCTGACCTGACTCCTTTCCCTTCCCTCTCCCTATTTGCTCTTTGCTTATCCTCCTTAGAAAAAGTACCATGCAGATGAGCACTAAGAATCAGATGGAGTTTTCAAAAGGGGATAAGAGCATAAATTCGGCTTCTGAAAGTCGTTCCAAATGAGTATCGAAGGACTTTTTCGATTTCCAAGAGTGGTGACTCTTCACTTTAACTAAAAGGGGTGTCATAAAACCCGGAGCTTTTACGTTCACTCACTACTCATTTCGGAGGCTTCAATTCAACGGTTTCTGCTCGAGTGGGAGAACTATCACTGCTTTCATCACGAACTTTGGTACACTCCCTTTTTTGACGGGATATATTTTGGAATCTGGAACATTGGGACGCAACTGTGAAGGAATCTACTTGAACAACGAGTATGTGGAACGTCACGGGATCGAAGAATTTATAAGCTCTACTCAATCTTTCGGATACTAAAAGAGAGGGACAAGAACGCGGAAATTCGAGGACCGAGATTGGATTTCTTATGAACAGATTGGGTAGCGGGGATGTTTATAAAAGAGTTCCTTAAGCCTAGTGCGAAAATGGATTAGTGCCACGTGGTGCCCTCAGCGGTCAGGAATCTAGACCTGCTTGGGCCTTTCCACTTGGGCCTTTCGCCTTAAGGGATTGCCAAAGTAGTGCCAGACCAGATTGAACTTGATGTTTTATTGAGTGCTATTATATCTCCGCAGTATGCGATTCGGAAGTCTCACAAGGTCGATGACAAACTTTTGTCCATAATTCGCCAACTCTGTGAGCGTCATACTATAATAGTTTGAGAGGCTATTGAACCCCATGATCGGCCAGCCTCAGGAATCATTATTGGCTTCTTCTACTTTTTGAGGAATGAAGTAGAAGGGGATGCTCAAAGAAGGGCCGATCGTTAAGAAATCCTATATGATTCATGCTCTCGCATAAGCTTCGCAGGCTTCGCGATCCTCACAAATAGATACCACAGACACATTGCGATGAAATNAAGCAATTTCTCCCTCTCGCGCAGAAGAAATCGACTCGTACTAGGAGCCCATCGCTCAGATAAACACTTGTTACGCCCTGGAATAAACAAAATCAAGGAATCGTTCCATATTCGTCGCGTAGCAAACATCAACTGAGCCCATGCCGCTCTTTCCCTGATCCTCGTGTCAAATTCATACACATTGAAACGTCGCAACAATTTTGAACGAGAATAGAAAACATGGCGCAACCTGCAGGATCCTACCCGTGTAGCCTTTTTTTGCTTCCACGAAACCAAAAATTTGTGATGGTTAGTGGGCGTGTGCAGCTTTCTGCTGAAACGAGGCAGCAGAAACATGAGTTCCAGTAGCGCCGCCCACGGGGAATATGAGTAGATGTTGGCGCCGGTGGATACTCTTTGACTACTCTGCGTGATTAATTTTGTTCAACATCTGTGTGGAGCTAAGAGCTGGCTTGCTTCTTTTGGAAACAATTCACTTCTTACTTTTCTTGTCCTCGTTCCCATTCAGCCACAACTATAGAAGCAGCTCGCGCTTACTCCAATCTTATTGTCTTCCATAACTTCACTATTGGCAATTATCAGGGAATTTCTCGGAAATCTAGGGTAAAAGCTTCTGAGCTCGAGCTGAAGAGGATCTCTGATTATAGAGTACGTCCCGCTTTACATTAGTAAAATGATAAGTTCGACCGGTGATTTTCTAATTTTAGATGGACTAGACCGACACGACCCTTTTATGCTCTTCGAGCCTTTGACTGGTGACCAGCATAAGTAATATTCCAGGCGTGAAACCTGCCTTAACAATTAGGCCAGTTACTAGAACTTCTTCCTGAATTCCAGTTTTATTCCTAAATTGAATATAGTTTCTTCCATGGATTTCAACTGATTCCTTATGAGCAAAAGACCATCAGTGGTCGCGTGGTTTAGCTAATGCAGATGGGATGGAATTCAAAGTCATTTTACCTCTTTCAGTTTTATTTTCGTATAGTTCTACTCATAACTATGGTATCAGGAGTTCCTACAAGCCATAGACATGGGTTCGAATTGCTAGAATAAGAATTGAAAGAAATTAGCAGTTGAATTAATACTCACAGCCAATGGAAGCTTCATACAGACAACTAATGGAANAATTTTGAAAACGGAAAGTTCCAAACTTGTAGCGCTAGTGATTGGCGTTGGCAGTATCTTTTTCTGTAGTTCACTATGTTCTTTTACGCAAGTGTTCAAGTGTACAAAGCGTTTCATCGTCCAAGACATTGTCATGACATACAGTGATACCGGTCAAGTGCTCTCAAAATTTGCATCTGAGTTATAAAGGTTTACATTGGTGTACGATACTAACGCTGGATATTTTCAAGCGCTTCCATTTTCCGAGCATTGATTCATGAACACGAAAATGGTGTTCGCGTGAGCGTCCACCATCAACTGCTTCAATGAGAGCTCCACGCTGTGGTTCACCCTTTTCGATGGTGCTTTTTACTATATGCTCCTTGTTTCGCACACATACCCACGCGAAGCCCCCTCCCTTTCGCTGGAAAGAAGGACTCACAAGAAGAGGGATGGGAGACCAAAGGAAAAACATTTTGAGAAAATCTTTGATTGGAGATTACTCACAGTTTTTATTAATCTGTGGTTTGTGGGATGTCTTCAGCTTCTGATGTAACTGATTGTCTCCTCTCGAAATTAATTTTGCTCGTTGATGGCCTCGCGATGGGCCCGTTTAATGTTGACTGCTGCTTTTAATTGTTTGCTTTTTCCTCTGCTCCGTAAATGAGTTAGCTGTGAATCCGAGAGTTCTGTCGAGGGCCTTACGTAAAGGAGGCTGTCAATGATGGAAATTTTTCATAGTTTCAATATAACAAGTGAACTCGGTATAGAGACGTAAGTGGCTATCCTTACGGTAAACTTGCATTATTTGCCATCCCTTCACGACGAAATGGAACCACCTTTATTGGCAGGCTTTGAAAAAGAACTTTTCAGGGCACACTCTTGTTTGAACAACAGCTTTCCATATAATTTTTTACTAGGCGGGAATCTGGGAAGCATATATGTCTTTTTGATTTTGCGCACTTTGAGAGTCTTCTTCTTTTTGTAGAAATGGCCAACCTCCACCTGCTCCTTTTTCCTCGTGCTTCCGCTGATCCGAGTGCATGAACCTACTTCTATAATACTTTTGGGAATTTGCAATGTACAAACTTACTTTTCAGAGACAGAGCGAATGCTTCACGAATTCAGTAGCTGTTGTTGATGCCATGTAGAGGACCAATCCCAGTTAGCACGCGATGATAGCTGTTGCTCTACTTCTTCTTGCAAAAATCTCCGTCGAAGCGGTACATAGATCCTTTCAATTAATACTTCTTGAGAGGTTGAAATTTTGATTTTTTTATGGCTAAGATAGAGCACCACTAATTACAACTAGTAAAAGCAGCACGCCATAGATAACCCNAGCCTGGAATCTAATTTGCTGCTCGTTCAGACCGCTTACCGTTCATCATATGGACGTTGAATGGTGTCGTATTTTATTTTCGGCCATAAATCTCTGACATGAGTGGTTTAATCCGATAAGTTAGTCCTTTTTGTGAGCATGGGTTCATTGGAGGGCTATTGATTCTGTTCTAGACAGACTGAAATCATCAACTATGCAATGCCAATCAGCTTCTGATCAAGCTTCTGCACTTTAGAGGAACTTGATAGGAAGCGAATGAGCCGTGTATTCAGGATGGATTCATCGATGAACAGAACGTCCTTTGCTCTGGGCTTTTTGTAACGACTCATTCGAAGAAGGCCAAAAACTAACAGAAGTGTAGCGTAACGTATTTCAAAGACCTATCATAAAGTAGTGAGTATAAAGTTCTGGCATGGTTTTCTCCCTTTGGGGATGCCATAGTTCCACTTACAACTAGACATGTAACTTGCTGTGCCCTTTACCTTGAAACCACTTCTACATAGGCAAATGCACAGTTCATTTTGGGCAGAGTTGAAGAGCTACAAAACTCACAAACTTTCAAGGCGAAACTAATTTTCAGGAAATTTTTATTTGTAGATTTTGCGAAGTAATCACCACTGAGTACAAATACCACATGTCTTTGAGCAGTACGTCTCTGCGATGTTGTAGAAGTCCGGTTTGTTGCACATTCCTGCATGCTTTGGGCCCAAGCGGAACTGTTCACCTCCAGCGTCAAAACATGGGTGAAAGAATCAGTTCTTATAACTATGTTCATGTACACGGGAGCGGTTCATCTCTGATAGATTGCGCCATGCATTTGACTTCCATATGGGACTTCACTGAATTCCGTCTTGGAAGAAAGTAAAGCAATTAAGGTCAATCATGTAGGTGTGTGATTGATCTTAATGGTGACTTGTACTGAGAATCCGAGTACTTTATCTTTTATCTACTAGACATATTCTACACGAGGATAAAAGACCAGCTAGTTTCTGTGTCATTGGTCTTGGATTCGATCTTTGACCGATATTAAGGTACCATGATAACGTTTTTTGCCCACCACTCTTCCCGGGCAACAGAAAAGTGTGAAGGAGGTAACTTACGAAAGTTGCTGCTTCAGTTGTGAAGGCGTTGAGGAGGAAGAGAGCGCAGACGATGTAGAAGAACATATCGAATCGTTCTTAAGCTTACCATTTATCGGAAAGGGCTCTATAAAGAGTGCTGGTACTAATTTAAAAACCTTAGGAGGAATAATCGTTCTGTTAGCTTAAGCTGGTATTGATGTGGGGTTTCACCTTCGAATCATAGGAATGTACATAAGAGTTTAATGTATTCCAGATTCGTCTCCGTTGTGGCAACTATTCAGCCGCGGCTACAGTATCACCAGAACTACGATGGAACTCTGGCATACTCGTGACTTGGGATCTTCTCTCTTCAGATCCTGTTTGTTCTGATCCGTCCAGAGTTCCACGCTTCTCACAACTTCGACTTCATGACGTTTCGCTGATAGCCGCCTGTGAAAGTTGTCCGCAGTGAGTTCAAGACATTTTCCAAACGAAGGGGAAAAATTACGAAAAAAAATCCGACTTAATATAGCTTACCTTGCGTTTGCAAAAATCGGCTGCGTGCGGTCGCGTTGCATCTTTCATCTCATCGGCCCACATCAGTGAATTTATTTAGGTGCCACGCAGAATTTACTTCTGCGCTATTTGAATGTTTAGCCCTACTCCATCCATCGGGCTAGCTTCAGAAGGCAAATAACCATTTCTAACCTTCTTAGGCTGTAACTCGGTCGAATGTCTTGAAATGGCAAAGTTCATTTTTGGCAGAAAAGTTCTGCTTGAATAAATAAATAATTTGAGCTTTTTTGTATTTAAGGTGTACTCTTCGTCTACCAATGCGCTACGAGTGGCCATTGGGTTCGTCGATCAACACAATCTACATAGTCGCTCGTCAACCACCGTACAACCGTATTCATACCGATATGGATATTCGTTACGTGATTGTCGAAAAGATGCCTCCGTCTTTGAGAAATTGTGAGATTGTTGTTAGAGAGGTTAAGAAACTCGATCAGCTTCTCACATTTACCAACGCCGTCCTTTTCTTTGGAGTATTCACCGCGGTGGTGTTTTGCACCTGCTTGGCGCGATGGGTATGTGCGAAAATTTACTAAAAACGAAATTTTTGAAGTAAGCAAAGATTCCAGCAGAAGGCTAGTAAGCCTTGGATCCATCTATTTTGATTCTTGCGGATATCACACTTTTCTTGTGTCCCTGCACAAGATCTCTACTAACTTTCTAGATTATCATCTACATAATTACTATCTATCAATTCTTATCATCAAATATCACAAGAAAAAGTTCAGTGCCTTATCATATCATCATGATCTCCTTTCCCATGTATGTTCAGAATCTAAGAAATGTAATAAATATTTTTCTATTCCGCATAGAACACCTTGTAAAGTAGTGAAAAATTGTTGGTCGATATCGACAGGGTGTACGCCACGCATTCAAGTCCCACCAGTCCGCATACAAAGATCGAACTTACATGGTTCGTGTGAAGATTTGTCCCAAAGACGAATTCTTAATCGAGAACTATCTGAGGACTTGCTTGATGCGGACATGAGATAATACCAGTTCCTTCCAAAGATTAGGTGTGCAGAAATGTAGGCTCTCAGCGACGCTCCGTTTTTAAACTTCAACTGACGGAATTTTGCGAAAAATAAATGGGTAAGAGCTATTGATTACACACCATATACGAAAAAGTTACTTGAAAAGGAAGAAAGCAAATCAATCAAATCTGGTTGAATACAAATGTTTCACATTGTAAAGTTGAGTTGTCTTCCCCCTGCTCGAATATATTTATGCTTAGCATTGCTGTCAACAGCGATCACTGAGAGTAGGCTATGGATTCAACATTGTTTTCTTGACTTGGTCATGAGTAAATGTAATTCTTCCTTCTCCTTGTTCATTTGTGTACGATTCCTAGGCCTCAACTGATTAATCTGGCGCAGTAATTGTTGAGTCACATTGGAAGCATTCATGCATTTTTGATGTACCTCGGAGCCAATATCTGTTGCGATGAGTCGTAACGAAGTAGTCTCATGAAACATCTGATAAGTCAAGCAACTTACGGCTAGCCTTTGGTTTTTTTGGGTCACAGTGAAGCTGGGATTGCGCCACTTACGATTCAGCCTACGCAGAATTGTATTGGCTTTGTCACTAGAGTGTGACTCACACACTGAATTGTAGGAATTTGCTTCCATGTACTAGTCAATTCCTGATTTTTCAAGAAATAATACCTTCTAGAAAGGTAGATAGTACCGAACAGGAATGCCGTCAGTGTTCTTTCCTTCAGGATCACTTGTTTACAATCTTAACAAAAGGGTGAATCTAGGAATTCTAAGGAAAGGATAGTGATTCAACACAAGCGATCACCAAGAAATTACCAGTTTTCATAGTCATATCAGCCTGAATAGAACGCGATGGGAACATCTACCAATTTTCATGTGTATGATTTCACCATCAGACCAGCACAGTTCACTGCTGACATCACCTCGGACCCTTCATCTATGACAGTACTGAAAAACGTCATCGAAAGTACTTCATTTCACAAAACGGCTTTTACACTCCTGGATGAAACAAGAACCAGAGGGCTAAGAATCTAGTTGTTCCAGAAGGACAAAATTTGATTTCTACTCACTCGGTAGAACTAAAAAATAAATGGATACAAACATCATTACGGCAACCATATGAATATGAATGAAGACATGAATTGGATATGAATGTACTATGCATTTCCTTCTTTTCAATGTAACTTCATCGAAGTACTGCTTGGGCAAGGTCGGCTGAACCCTGGAACATATAGAGTCAATACTAACCACCAAATTGTCCCAATCTTTTCTTAGTTTCAACTTCGTAACGAAGAAAATCTCCTAACATTGAACAGTTCCCCACGACTCACACCATCATTAGGATGGTGTGCAGTCGAATAAGGCTTATACACTAGACCGGGGTCAATGGAAAGTCTGGAAGCCCTTAGTCTAGATAGATTGGTTGTGCAGGTCAATCAGATCCTATAGACCCTTGGGACTCGAATATGTTTGTGAAGCCGCACAAGCTACCTAAGCCACTTCATTGAATACTCATTTTAGCCACTTTTACGCCCGAGTTGATTGCGTGATTGTACAGAGAGA